GAGAGAGAGAGAGAGAGGGGGGGATGCAGACAGACAAACAGCCAGACAGACTGACAGCCAGACAGACTGACAGCCAGACAGACAAACAGGGACAGTTTACTTCGGTAACAGTTGTTTTTAGAAGAATCAAGTCGCATTTACCTTGACATAGGAGCAATGCAAACAAATTGTAACAAAACATCGAAAGTCAGTTATTGAGATAGAGTCGTTTGTTGACTGTGAGAGGAGCTCTTGTCACATCAGTGTAGATACACTAGACACTGGCCGTTGGCAGCAAGTCTGCTACTTGCGTTCCAATCTCTTAAACTCAAAGGCATAAGACCCTTTCAAAGATGTGTCAGTATGGAGTGAGTCCATAAAATATATTCTTCCTCACCTGTAGGCACAACGACGTCCTACAGGTGCTGTCACAGAGGCTGCAAAGCAGGAATTTTCATGAGCAGTGATGCTGGTAATGACAATGACAACCTTTAGCAGGATAAGGAATGTGATTCTGACGATCATAATATGAATGTTGGTAATATCTCGCTTAGGAGCTCAGGCAGAGAAGCACTGTAGCTTCAGGAGGGCAGGGCTCAAAGGGTTAAACTTGTCTTACGGATAACAAACACAAGCACGATGACACTACGACGGAGCACTTAATTTAAGCGCAAGTCAAAGAATTTATAAATAGACTGGAAAAAATACCCAGGCAACACAAAGGTGTCAAGCCTGACTTTGTTGCTAACATTTGTGTTTATTAGAAAGTAAATGTCATACAATAAAAAGGAACCCTTGGTCTTTTTCTGTAAGGATCAATTATAAGATAGAAACAACAGATCTGTGGTTTCTTAAGAGAGTGTTGAGAATCTCTTGAAAGGAAAAGAAACCAAATGAAGTAGTACTTGGAGAAGTCCACGTGGGCCGCTGGCTAATAAAAACTATTTTAAAAAGATAAATGTAGTAGCTGGGACACTTGAATAGATAAATGGCCTTGGACATCTAACTTGCGCGGGCAAAATTCAAGGTAAACGAGGCAGGGGTTGATCCATAGCTACTTATTTGGAAAGCCCCAACAGATGGGTCACGGGAAACAACCAAGATAATGCAATAGCTTTTTCAAGACCATTCGCGGAGAGGATTGAATGGCGAACCATGATCATTGATACCCGTCGCAAATCTGACACTAGATGATGTTGATGATATGATAAAATCTCATTTTCTTCTTTTTCAGGTTTCTTGCTACCGCCAGACGCCGGAGAAAAGGTGTCTTTAGAGATTACCGTTCTGCTCTCCCTTGCTGTGTTTCTTTTGGTGGTCTCCGAAACGCTTCCTGCGTCATCAGAAAACTTCCCCTATATCGGTGAGTTTCTCTGGCGTGACGTCTAGAAAAGTAGAGAGAGTAACATTTTTTGTTTTAGTAGAGGTTTTATAGCGCTCGCAACAGCATAATATTAAGGTCATATGAGCGCCAGAAGATTAGAGGAGTTACAAGAGAGT